TTTTCTAGGACCAGGACTGCGCTTACTACAATGTCGGACACGACCAGGTATATTAGGAGGCGTTCTCTGGGTTCTGCCTTAGCAAGCAGCGGGGGCGAAGATAAGTACGCCTTTAGTTCTCTCAGGGCGTCGACGCACTTGGAATTTCATTGGAGCCCATTGTCCTTTTTGAGCACACTGAAGAATTTGTGGCATCTATCAGAGGATCGTGAGATGAACCTCGACAGGGAGGCTATACAGCCGATCAGCTTCTGCACCTGCTTCTTGTTGGTAAAGTTTTCTGGTATTCCCTTTATAGCCTTGATTTGGTTAGGGTTAACTTCGATGCCTCTTTGCAACACCAAAAAACCGAGGAATTTTCCTGAGGTTATGCTGAAGGCGTATTTCTCGGGGTTTAATTTCATGTCGTACCGCCTGAGTATGCCGAAGGCTTCCCTCAAATGTTCAATATGGTCTTCCTTTCTTTCCGACTTGACCAACATGTCGTCAATATATATTTCCATGGTTTTGCCGAGCTACTCTTCGAACATTTTGGTTACTAGCCTCTGGTATGTCGCCCCTGCATTTTTCAATCCAAACGGCATAACTCTATAGCAGTACGTCCCTTGGTGGGTGATGAAAGTGGTTTCATCCCGGTCTTCCTCCTCCGTGAGGATCTGGTTGTAACCTGAATAGGCTTCCAGGAAACTTAGCAGCTCGTGCCTTGCTGTTGCGTCGATGAGCTGATCAATGTGAGGTAGTGAGAATGAGTCTTTCGGGCACGCCTTGTTCAGATCTGTAAAGTCTACGCACATTCGTTATCTCCCATTTTTCTTTTTTACCATGACCACGTTAGCGACCCACTGGGTATTTTGACTCCCTGATAGAGCCGTTTTCAAGTAATTTTTCCACATTTTCGTGGATGACATCATTTATTGCAACATTGAATTTTCTTCTAACCTGCCATACCGTGGGGGGGGGGGGGGGGGTACAGTGGGTTAACGTTCAATTTGTGGGTTGCTATTTTCTTCGGGATGCCAGGCATATCTGCATGAGAGAAGGCAAACAAGTCCGCAGTATTAGTTAGAAGTTGATGGAATATACCTGGTTCTTGTAGTTTGTGTCCGATATACGCCTATTTACTGTGGTCACTCTTGTCGAGCTGAACGAGGTTGAGGTCTTCCACGGTTGATCCCGTAGCTTCCACGAATTCGAGTTCTTTGATGACATCTTTCCCTTCGTCGATGTTCAACCTCGACCACGTTAATTGCTATGCTTCTGCACCTTTGCCCTTTAACTGTTGAGTGTAGGTGCAGTCTTGGGCGATACGGTAGCATTCTTCGACTGTGCACTGCTCGCCGCGGATGATGAATATTCCCTATGGGGTGGGAAACTTGAAACCTGATATATGCTGGATGGGACGATCCTCATAGCGTGTATCCAAGATCGTCCTATGATGGTGTTGTACGTTGTATCTTGATCCATAATGTGGAACGTTGTTTCCAGGGTGATACCACTAGCCAGAACAGGTACTGTGATTTCTCCGGAAGTCCGCTCAACTGCATTGTTAAAACTCGTTACTGTGATGCAGCGTGGCACTTATCTTCAAGCCGCATATGTGTGAGGACTCGAAGGTGGATAATGCAGGTTCCACTTCCGTTATCTACAATAATCTGTTTTACATTGGTATTTGAAATACACAAAGTAATAACAAGTGCATCATAGTGAGGAAAGGTCAAACCCTGGGTATCCGACTCGTCGAAGATGATACTTTCTTCGAGGTCGTCATACCGTTCATGGGTGATTGATTATTTCAGCTTATGGGTGGTTGTGAACTTTACATTGTTGATTGATGCCTCGTCGCCTCTATCGATGATCCTTTGGATGGTGCAGGTAGGGGAGGGTAGCTTCGACGGTCCTTGATAGTGTTCTCGTTCTTGAGCAAAGTTCGCTCTTTCTCGGTCACTCATTAATTCTCTTAAATGCCCTTGGTGGAGCATGTTCACTACCTCTTGCCTCAAGGCGATGCAGTTCTTGGTCTTGTGACCTCATTCTTGGTGGAATTCACAGAGGACATTCGACTTTATGGTGTTTGGGTCGGACTTTATCTTTTGTGGCCATTTCACCTTTGGGGCCGAGCTTCTATAGGGCGTAGACTATCTTTGAAGGAGAAATACAAAAATTGTGAGCAGATAGTGATGGAGGCATACCTCTCTCGTTTCGGAGAGTCCATGTCTGTGGCCTGCATGGACCGTCGCCATGGTGAGAGGGGAGGGGGTATAACAACAACTCTGACGTATGGCTGGTGTCTTTCACGGTTGAGGCGTGGACCTACATGATCCTTGCTATTATCATTTTTACGATCTTTTCTCCCATTTATTTGGACTGATGTCAACTATTGGGTCGGTCCATTGAGGTCGTCCTCATCTGGTCTCACCTCGGCGCAATAGGCATTGTGTATTTCGTCCCAAGTGGTAGGGGTACTTCATGAGTCAGCTTAATAATTTTTTGGTTGCCCTCGAACCGCACCTGTTCAGCCAATTTTGGAATGCTGCTACCGCCATTCCTACTGACACATTTGGGAGAGTCATTCTAACACGATTGAACCGGGCGAAGAAGTCCCTGAGCCCTTCACTAGTGATTGTTTAGTGGCAAATATATTGTTTACTCTCGCCTCTGCTTTCTTAGCCCAGGCATGTGCGGTGACGAACTTGTCGGCCATTTCCTTAAATGTTTCTATGGATCGCGTTGGCAATTGTGACTACTATGTCAGCGCTCCCCCGATTAGGGTTTCACCAAATTTTTTCAGCAATATGGATGATACTTGCTCTTTGGTGAGGTCGTTTCCCTTTACTGCAGTGACATAGTGGGTGACGTGATACTCAGGGTCTGTTGTGCCGTCATATATCTTCAAGTATGGTAGCATCTTGAATGTTTTAGGTATAACATGGGGTGCGGCCTCGTCGATGTATGGTTGTTCTACAAATCGACCGGCATCCCGTTTTAGTAGAAGCTTTGGGGCGCCTTGTATCATATCTACCCTTTCCTGGTGCTCCCTCATTTGGTCGCGGAGTGATTTGTTCTCGTTCTCCATATCCTCCATTTTTCTTAGAATAGTTGTAAGGGTGTCGTTACCTGCATCATTAATAGTGTGAGTGATACCCATTGAAGGAGGAAGGATGTGCTTCTCAATGGTTGTTGTGATATCGACTCATGCATATTCCCTGCTCGCCCTTTGGGCATGTTTGTCGAGTATGCTGGTTAGCGTGCTCGTTAGCAATGCTTCTAGTAGTTTTTTCACTGCTGGCGGTGCTTCTTCCGTTGTGGACGTAGAGGCTCCTTTTCCATGGGAGGTGGTAACGCTGCCATGAGGAATAGGTGAACCACTTCGTCTAAGGGAAGCGTTTGGTGTTATGTTCTCCTCATTTTCTCCATTAACCTCATTGATGGTGTTTAAGAGGTTAGCAGTAAGGCCTGCCACTGCTTTCAAACTTTCCTCTCTATTACCTGCCATATTAGACTGTGCAAGTAGGAAAAAGAAATTTTTGCGTTTTGCTCTTGTCGTTGTTTTTTTAGATCAAGAATAACTATGACTAAAATATCCCCATAAACGTCGCCAAATGTTTGACCAAAAAATATGAAACCTTTTGTTAAACCAATTAAATAAAAAGGTGATGGGTAAATCCTAGTTAAATATAAAAGTTCTAGATCTAACACGTACTTGTATAAATAGTATATAATAATCGTTTGAGCTAATTTAATACAAATGGTATTAAATGATGCTTTCTAGAATGAATGGAAGAACAATGATGAGAAATGACTATATTAAATAACAGTAAGTGTAAATAGAGAGAATGATTCACCCAAATATTGAATGAGGTGATAATTCTCTTATCTGACAACGATGTAAGACAAATGGATATTGGAATATATGAGGTTTTCTCGGATGTGATGCGATAAAAAAGGAGGAATGAACAACAAATCGAATCCTTATGGAAAGGTAATCTTTTGGATTCTCTCTCTAGAGTCAACTTTTCATTAGAGTGATTATCAGAATCAAAATCACATGCCTTTTTCCTTCTCTCTTCTACTATTTATATGTGATATTTCCAAAAACCCTAAAAAAAGGTACAGCAGAGGGAATATTCAACAGAATATTCCAAAGCTATATTAGCCGTTATTTCTTTTCCTGCTGCTCGTCCTCGGCCTTAGGAGCTTACTCGGCGGCTCCATATTGTCAAGCTCGGGTCGTCCTCGGCCTAATCACCCATGATGAGACACATTTCTCTCACTTGGTCACCTAGTTATGCCGAATTTCTTTAGCGGGATTCTGACCCATACAATAATTGCTTAGATAAGTTCTTCACAATTAGTGTATCTTAATCAGTCATTTACATCATTTTAAAGTGAAATTTGTATATTTTTTTTTGGGG